GGGAATGTGAAATGGAGCAGTCACTATGGAAAATAATATGGTGGTTCATCAAAAAGTAAAAAATAAAAATAAATATTGATAGCCTATGTATTAGTCTATTCAGGCTGCCATAAAAATATACTAAAGACTGGGTTGTTTAAATAACAAGAATTTATTTTTCATAAATTTGTAGGCTGAGAGATCTAAGATCAAGGAACCAGTTGATTTGGTTCCAGTAAGAGTCTAGAGTCTTAGAAGACTTACTGGAGGAAAAGTAAGGCTTTGCTTCTCTGCTTGTACAAAGAGGCAAGGGAAGATATGGGCTGGGTATAGAGTTTCCGTTTAAAGATGAAAAAGTATTGACAGCTGCTGCACAATAATGTATATAAATTTAGAACTACAGAACTGTATACTTTAAAATAGTTGAGGTGGTAAATTTTAAGTAATGTGTTATACTATAATTAAAAACAGAAAATGCTATTATATTAAATATTAACTCTTTAAAAGTACATATTAATAAGGCAAATTTTCATTTATGGATATTTTCTTAAAGATTGCCCTTCATTTCCCTAATAATCGTTTTGAGATTTATTTGTAGTATATTTGATTTGGATTGCCAAATAAGAACACTGATAGACATAAAAATGTATTCACAAAAGAATAAGAGTTTAAAAATAGCATTTCTATTTTAAGTCTACGGTTATAGGTGAATCTTTCCTAATCTAAGGAAATGATTTGCATTACGAGTTATTTGTTTTTGTTTTTCCTTTTAAATATTTATTTATGTATACATACAAATATAGGCCAGAGGTAGAGGTGGGGGGTGTGTGTGAGAGGATTCACCAGAGACAGAGACAGATTTACATTAAGAGTTATTTGTTTTTGTTTTTCCTTTTAAATATTTATTTATGTATACATACAAATATAAGCCAGAGGTAGAGGTGGGGTGTGTGTGTGAGAGGATTCACCAGAGACAGAGTGGAGAACAGAACAGGTGGATTGACTGAAATACACTGCTGAGGGGAGTAGGGGGCGAGCCAGGAGAGGTCTGCTGCGCCATGTGGGTCACCTCCTTGGCCAGGGATCAAACTTGTGTTGCAGTAGCTGCAGATAGCTTCATAGTGCTGATGCTTAACCCCTTAAGAGTTTTTTTTTTTTACAACAAAACAAGTTATACTAAACAATATCAATATGTAACATTTACTATATGTATCACACCAAAACATTTTCACTATTTTAGGACAGAAAATAAACTTGTTATTAATTAGTATGTAGATGCAAAAACAATTGTTAGTTGATCTAATGCTACAAATTCAGTTACTATGATTTGTCAAAGCAGGAGGAAAAACAAACAGTAACAAAAACGCCAGGGAGGTCATGCGTGCATTGGCAAAGAAATAGCTTGGCCCTCATTAATCACAAGCACAATCAAAGAAAGTTGATCCTTTGGGGCTTATTCACGAGGAAGTCTGTGTCTTTTCCTTTTGAAAACCTGATCCTATAAGTGCTGAATTGAAGTCTGTTCTCTTGTCTTGCTAGTTAGTGATGCTCTGCCTTGCCACCATCTCTAAGGTCGCCTGTTACCCAGGGTAGGGGTGCCAGTGAAAACTCGTTATATTCAAAGGAAAAAGCAGGAAACCGCGAGTTTACTGGGATGCACACTTGGTCTTACAGGAAGGTAATGGAAGAGGGAGGAATGCCTACTACTAGGGCAATCGGCGCTCTCCAGGGCAGCGTCCACTTTGCCCGGAGCAAAGAGCGCGGGGCGGGCGGGGGCGCCCAAGCTGCAGTTTCCCAAGCGCCCGGCAATGCGGGGGGCGCCCTCGTCCCGCGTTTGGTCGCCCCTCCCGCTTTGCTCGCAGGCTGTTCTCTTGTGCAAGATGGGGTGTAGCCCAGGGCCGGCTACCTCATTCCGTGGGAAAAGCTGTTCATTTTTTGCTTCCGAAAGCCGAGGCAACAGTGCGTCTCGGTGGGCGGTTGGCTCGGGCCACGCCCTCATCTCCGCCCCCGGGACCGTGACACTGCCGGCCGCCGGCGCGGGGCGCGCGGAAACTGGGGTACTCCCCTTACCGGCAGTTGCGTTCACCCTGGCCTGCGTCTCTTGGAGGGGACAGCGGAGGGCGAGACCCTTTCTGCATCGTTTCGAGTCAGAGTCACCTCGGGGGGTTGGGGAGAACAGGGTAAAGGGACTTATCAATATTGTTAGAAAATCTCACAAGAAAGAGGCGGCCTTTACGATCTTTTTTTTTTTTTTTTTTTTTTTTTTTTGGTTTAATTTGGCTCAATAGCTCAGCCGGGACCGCGTTTCGTACTCAGAATATCAGCAGGTGGGCGCGGGACTGACCCTGCGGGTCTGGGAGGTGTCCTATGGGCCAAGGCGGACTTGCAAAGCGCTCTGCTAAAGGCTGGTTTGGGGGCGTTTGAAGATTCGATTCTAGGGGTTGAAGTGCTGCCTTCCTCCTAAACCGTAAAGATCCGAATGAACCAAGCAGGCACGTCCTCGTCCTCGTGAGTCCCTAGTCGCACGAGGATCCTGGGCAGAAAGTGGGTTCCAGTTGTGTGTTTTTGCGCATCAGCGTTTCTACCTAAATGCCTGTTGCCCTTGCTCGGCGCTCTGACTCTGAGTCAGGAATAAAACTGGGCAATTTCCCTTCTCTGTTTGCCTGGTCTGGCCACAAACGATGACTGAAGTCACTGAGAGCCGAGAAAGCCATGGAGATAGGGGTATGGTGAGTGGGCTTGGGTCGGGACAATCCCTGTTCAAGGGAACTGACTCAGACAGCCAGAGGCCTTCACTGTCCTTAAGGTGAGGATGCCTCCTCCCCAAGCCAGAGCGAAAGCATTTTGAAGGGTATAGTCATCAACAAAACAAGTTTTGTCCCCTGCCTTCTTAGGAAGTTTCACTTTGGAAAACTACTTATTGAAAGAAAAAAAAAATGTTGATCTTTATTAGCGATGCTTTTCCAAAGTCCTTTCGACTCTCCCAACTTCTCTCTGAATTTTCTGGCTGTATTCACTAGAAAGAGCAAAAATGCAATCGCTGTGGGCACTTTCCAAAGTTTCCAAGGTCTTGACTGTACTGCCTCTCCAGAAAGTTTGACTAGACTTTCCAGCTCAGGGTCAAGGTCAGAGAATTGGAAGCTCTGATGTAGCTCTTAAGATGTTCATTCCAGGTGAACGGTCTTGAGTAGGAGGAGAAAGGAATTACTGAGAGCGGACAGATTTTGCTGGGTGCTGTCAATGATCAACCCTCCCTTTTACAGACATGCGCGCACGCTCTCACACGTGTTCGCTCTCTCTGGCTTTCTCTGGCTCTCTCGCTCTCTCTAAGTGTTTTCCCGGGACAACCACTAGAGGGAGGGGCCGCTGGGCAGTAGCGGGAAAGGAAACAAATATGGATCTCTCTCTCTCTGGCGCAGTTTGTCACTTTTATAGTGATTGTGATTAAGGGGAATCTACCTTGGTTAGGTTAGCACTATATACACAAGGGGGAAAATGCACGTCATCTGTCCTTCACAACCACAGGTTCCTTTGGCTTGGGATCTCTTTTCTATTAACCCATTCTCACTATTCTGGACACCAAATAAGTGCCCAGGACGCCAAATAAATCTGCTAATATGGTAATCTTTTCCTAAAGGCAAATTCTATTTTTATTTATTTTTTTCGCCTTTCTTTAACCTTACTCTACACATTAATAAATATAACTGATAGAACATTGTTCTGGTAGAAATGTAAAAATCAGAAACAGGTCATTTTGCACAGGATAAATAAAAAATACCTTTTATCATATTTCTGAGTTTGAATTTAACTTTCACCACCAATCTGGAAACAGTTACAAAAACCTTAGAAAATACCGTGCATTGTAAGTAATATATTACTTTAAGAAATACTACCTTATGCAGACTCCTAAGTTCCTAATGGATATCTAAGCATGAAAATCACCTAAGAAAAAGAGTAAGGGTAAATTGAAAACGTCGAATAGTTTAATCTATTATGGCTGAATTAGGAAGTAAATATGAGAGGGTTATGGGAAGATTTAAATATTATCATGATTGGAATTTCAAGATTCAAAAGTCAAATACCGCTCACGCAAAAAGGCTTCTCTGTGGATTTGAATTAACTTTGTGAAATGAATCAGAACGATGACTCAACCCAGAGCGGAAAAGTGGTTTCCTAAAAAAAAAAAAAAAAAAAAAAAAACCAAACACACACACACACACACAAAACAGGTGTTGCGCGCGTTGGTGACCCAATACTGGTTGTGCACGCGCAGTGTCCAGATCGCTCTCCACGCAGATCTGGCTCTGTACAATTCGGCGAGCGCACCCGCCGCAGAAATGCCGCGGGTATACGGTTCCCGGTCGAAGGGCCGCGGGGGCTGACACTCCGCAGCGCCACCAGCGCTGCTCTCTCCCCAAGTCAGCCACTCCACTGCGCGAGCTGCAGGCCGTCCTCTGTGCACTACAACCCGCCGGGCGGGGAGCCCTGGCGCTCACCCGGCGAGCTCAGCTGGTGCTGACGTCTGTTCAGGCCTTTAAATGTGTCTGTCCCTGCGCAAGATGAACAGACTTTGTAGCAGTCACTTTGCCCGAAGGGAGTAACGTCTTTGCTCGTGCAGGCGGCCGCTCCGGCTCCCCTCGCTCTTACTGGATCTACGTTTGTTTCTGCCCTCTTTGCACGAGTCCCCGCCAGCATCTCCAGCGGGAGGCGCATTTCATATTTGCACCCCACGCGTGAACCAACAGGGCTTCCCAAACCCTGCGCTTTTCCAGTGGACTCCAAGACTAGAGATTACGAGATGCTCTCGGAGATCGCTCAAGGAACAGGGAGCTTCTTCCCAGATTTTAGTTGGGGGTGATTTTTTTCTCCGTGCTGGTGAGAGCGTTCTCCCTGCCCCCCTCACCTGCAACTTGTTTTGGTTTCTTTTCATTCCTGTGTGTGCGGCTCCAACATCAAAGTTTTTCCTCCCTTACCCGAACGATTTATCCGTTTAATCCATCCTCCTCCCGCCGCGCCGTCTCTGCCTGGCCTCCTAGCTGTGCGGCGAGCGGATGGCCCGGCGCGCGGTGTAACAGCGGCGGCGGAGATTGGAGATCCGGCGAGCAGAAGGGAAGGAGCTGCTGCTGGGGACTCCCTGAGTAACCCTTTGACGGGCGAAAGAGCTGGGTAAGGGTACAGAAGAGCAGCGGGAGCCTTCCGGGACGCTGGTGCCTGAAAACCGGATTTTAATCACCCTCCTGGTTGCGCGTCTCAGTCCCTTTTTTTCATTTGGTAACTAGTCCAGAGAAGCGCTTGGCACTAGCGCTCTGCGGGACCCAAGCTCCCGGCCGCTCTCGGGATCCGTGTGTCCGCTGCTGCGGAAGGAGCAGAGGGGAGGAAGCCAAAGGAATCATACTGGAGTCTGGAGGTAGGCAAGGGGGTGGGATCCAGATTTCTAGTGATCTGCCGGTATTCCAAAAGGGTATCTGGTTTCATGGAGTGGAGGCATTTTTCTCCCCCCTCGTTTCCCATCACACCCTCCTCTTCTTCGGATTCAGGCTCAGGGATAACCAGATTCACAGCACCCTCGAGGTGGACAGCCTTCCACCTCACATCAGCTTAACGCCTTGATCCTTACATTTTGACAGTGTTGGGGTTATGTGAGCTTCCCTGGGAAGTTGTTAGTTTGCAGATTTTGAGAGGGTCCAACTTGGTTTTATTCAGTTTCTCAAAGGATGTGTTTCCTGTGGGCAAGAATTATGGGAAATGAATGTCAGTGTCATATGCAACTGCAATAGCACCTCGGAAATCACCTTCGTTTCCCCCAAAAGTTTTCCCCATGCAAGTTTTTGTAATGCAGATGAAGTGCACGAAGACTTAGATTGTTCCATTGTATATAAACTGGAGAAGAGGCTCTCCAGTTACAAAGTGCAGGATATCAAGGACATTGTAGTTTTCTTCTTTTTTTCTGTGCTGCCTATGTAACAAAGCACTGTGAATGTAGGAAGAATGTAACATTCACAATCTGTAAGAATGATGAAAGGCTGCTGTTTTTAACCTGTTTGGAATTGTTATTTAAATATCTAGTATCTTTTAGTCAAGAGAGGTAACTTGGGGTAAGACTAAACTAATATGTTGTCATGTAATTCAACCTGGTGAGATTTTGTATATATTGTATTTAATTGATCCCTATATTTGCACATTAGTTCATGATAAGCAATGCATGAGATGATAGAAAGAACCCTTGAGTTTTTGGCAAATGGTATTGTTGGGCTGTTGGGAAATGTAAAAACTCAACATTAATATTTACGTGGCAAGAATATGGATGACTAGATGAAAGCAGAAAGGCAAGTTAACTTTAAGAGGGTAGTTTATTGAAAATTTGTGCCTGAGATTTCATATCTACATATGGTAATCAGTGAAGTAAATGAACCAGTTAGTATTCTAAGCTTGCAATACTTGGCTCTGTGGAAAGACTGCTATTACATTTCATTTCCAATCTCATTTGTGGAAATAGAATAATGTTGAAAGAGTCTATTCACTTCTCACATATGTGTACTGTACATAACAGGGTGTCCTAAAAAACAGAGACAAGTCCAAGACCTGGCCCCATTACACAAGATATCCTTCACATAAGCTGCAACTAGTGGAATCTGGAGCTTCTTCCTTTCCCTGCTCTCCTCTTACTATCTTTCTCCTTTTCGTTTTTCCTGAGCACTTGTAGCTTCTAATTTGGATCTAAATCTTCCTTTGTGCAGTAGGTCCTGTCATTCATGTGTTCTTTCTCATAGGGTAGATCTGAGTTGGAGTTACTCTGAATTGAAATGAGTTAATACCCCAACAGTAAATTTTGGGCAGATTTTGGGTAATTACTGAATGTGCCCAGGTCTCCAGCTAAGCCTGACTGTGGTGGTGAGGGGAGGTGGGTATATAAGGGGATGTTACAGTACAGCCAAATTGGTAAGATAGTAAGGAATATGGACTGTTCTTCAGGAGAATTGTGGCACTATGTAAGAGGGGAAATAAAGGTGAAATGTAAGGTGTGTGTGTGTGTGTGTGTATTTAGAGGATGGATTATCTTCAGCAGGAATCAGCCTTATCTTAGATCTGCATGAGCAGGTTTATCTTAAAGGTCAGACTCTGCTTGAGAGATGCTTTAAAAAGAATTGAGAATCCCAAGAAAATAAACAGCTCTCATTTGTAGTTATTGACTTACAAATAAACTCTTAGTCTTAAGGCTAAAACAGTTTTTCTCAAATTTTAGTGGTTAAGAATGTATAGCAATTGAGATTTATGACCCCTAACACATGAGAAATTGGTTCAAGAGTATCCAATTAACTGCCTGTATAACACCATGGGTGATTCCAATTCTCCCAGTTCAAAAATTATCCTGTTAAAATATAGTCTCAGAGTTAATGAACTTGCCTTTGTTGGGGAGAGTATCATGCAAGCATTTTAATCTGAAAACATTCCCTAGTATTGATATATATGAATTTTCCTTCTTTTCCATTATCAGTGCCTTCATTTTGACAGTTTGGTCCTGTTAAGAGATAACTATTGTCAAATACCAAACTTCTATCGTTTGTATATTTGAAGTTCTGAATGGTAATCATGTGAGATTAAAACCAGGACACACTTATACTGAGGTGATGGGAAAGCATCAGGATTATTGAGAGCTGATGCTTTAAAAACAATCAATATGCTGAATTTGGTTGGGAGATAGCTTTAAACATTATAATGCTTTCTCACTGGAGGAAGGACAATTTTAAATTGCTAATCTTTATAGTTTCTATAGTTGTATATTTATATATTTCCTAATACTCTACAGTAATTGAGCAACTGCATGAAATTAAGCAGAGGAAACATAAATAAACATCCCTACAGTTTTTCAATTAAGTTCTTCATTTTTGTTGGTAAAACTTCACAAAGATGACAAAAAAGTGAAGAAAATGATTGCTCAAATCCTAAACCCAATGATCGGTCATTTCTTTTGGAACTTCTTTTGACAAGCGACATTTGCCTGATTTTTAATTTTTTTCTCCACTTTTCCAATCAAAAAGGGTCAATAATTCATGGTTATGGTCTTCAGTCTTGTAGTGTTTATGCACATCTTGTATTAGATATTATACAAAACTACCTATACAGAACATGGTTTTGTATCAGTACCTTTTTAGAGCTTTCTAGTTCTTAAAAATTTTGTGCAATAATGACATTACATATGGATAGAGGAAAAGGCTATGTACTTGCTTATTTTCTTAAAAAACACTTTATTTAGAGCCAATTGCCTTATGCTATTTTTAAATGATGGTTGAATACCAATTTAATTAGTGTGCATGTTGAAATATTTTAAAAGTGTAGCATAATACTTGAATAAAATATGACTTCTCAAATAATACACAGTACAGATCAGTGTGAATTATGTGTTATTTTTTTAGTTGAGTTTTGTTTTGGCTTTTGGCCGAAACTCCCCACAATAATTTTGATATTTGGTTGGGAAGTGAGAAATCTGAGAAGAAATTTTTTTTTAAAAAGTAGTGAACCCTATAAAGGTAAACTTAATTAACCTTTATAGAAAATGTTTCAGCTTCATATTAACCTAAATCTAAGATATTTTGATTGATATATTGAAATTGCAACATAGTTCCACATCATCCAGAATTCCTGTCAGAATTTATAGATATTTTGTAAAGTGAGGACATCATTGAAAACAAAAACAATCCATGTCTGTGTATAAAAATATATAAAATTTTGCTAGGAAGTTCCAGAAATAACTTTTTTCTGTTCCAGTGGCCCTCTCTCCATGGTTGAAACAGATAGTAGCACACAGAGTGGTGCTCTTAGCATGAATACTATTGTTTCATAATTCTACCCTTGAATCATCATTTGTTACATTTATATAAATGGAAACTGGACTTTTCCTTAATGATACATTTTAGAACAGTTTTTCAAATTAAAACAGGATTAGTAGTTGTGAATGCCCATTATTGCCAAAGATGGCCTTTTCTAAAGTTGATTTCCCAATCTCTGTCTAAAAGAGAACTTATAAGTCATGACTCCTATATTTGTTCCCCTCCTCTCCTGACATAAACCACATCATCACTATTATCTATATCATGTACTGAAGATATTTCACAAATATCTGTAAGGCATGTTTAAATACATAGATTACAGATATACAGGTAAGTTTTATGTGTGTATATGTTATATTTGGCATTGTGATTTTATATATGTATATATTAATGACCATAGACATTTTTATATATGCTCAAAATCTAGAGTATTATATATATTCTTATCTGTATTCTATGTTCCTAAAACCAGAATGACTTTGCTTCCACATACATCAATTTTGTTTATGTTGAATTCATTCATGCTGCCTGAAAAAAATCCACTCACACTATATTAGTGATTTAATAAAATCCTTAACAGGTTGTTTTGCATTAAAATGAGTACCAGTAGAAGACAAATCCTAACACGTATTTTAATGTAGGTTTGGGAGTCTTTAGAAAAATTCCCTACAAGTTAAAGTCTCACAAAGCACAATCACATTGTATATAAGGTCAACTCTACAACCAAGTTGAGGTCTGCTGGTCTCTGCTATGATATTTGTGTTTCAGATGTTATCTAAAGATTTCAGATACAAATAAGAAACAAGATCTTGAGTGAAAAACTCAAAATTGGATGAGTAGAATAGGACATTCATTAACCTATGAATCAGAAGAGGAATTCAGGGTTTAGAGATACATCAAAAAAGTTGTGCTAGATCACACATTGTGCCATTGGCAAGGTTTATAAAGGAGATCAGAATAGAAGACAGAACCATGGCACAGAGGACAAATTAAAGAAGCAGGAGAAATTATCATGCTGGTTTCTGTCCATATCATCCTTGGGAGCAAAGGGAGGACATTTGCCTGTTTCTTGAAGTTCTTTTTGCTAGACAGTTTGACAGACTGTTTTATAGGTAGCATCATCTGAAAATTCAAATTTTTGTGAAAAGCAAGTCTTTAATTCTTAACACTATAACACAATTGTCTTAAGACTTATTTTTCCTTAGTTAAATGTAGAGCAAAATGGTTGTGGATGGTCAACCACATAATTTAACTAAAATGTCATACAATTTATGTAAAAATACTCTTACACAAGGTGTTTCTGGACTACATCCTACAACTGTATAACATAGGGTGAAATGAAAATATTGGCTGCTGTTTTAAAGCTTAATAAAATATTAGAAATGATTTATGTGCCTTAGGTGTTTTCTTACTATTTCACTTGTGAATTACTCACCTAAATTCCCACCTGGTTTCCAGTGTTGACTTCTTTTTAGAAGTGAAGCAAGGAAGAGAAAGAATGGTCAACCATTAATTATTTTATAAGATACTTAACTATGAATAATGTAAAAATGATCTCTCAAAGATATTTTCTCACATT